TCGGCCCCCCTGCCGCAGCACAGCGAGGGGCTGTACGTGCACCTGTAGATGATTTTAATGGTTGGGAAGCTGGGAGTTGAGCAAATCTCTCCCTTGGCAGAGCTGGAGGAATTGCAACACGCTCCAGGAGCGTGCCTGCCCCCGCCCGCTGCGTCACCGGGCTCCACGGCAGCACAGGGTGGGGCAGTGCCCCCGGAGCACCCCCGCCCGGAACACACAGGGAGGGTGACACATGCCCGGCCCATGCTGGCATCCACACGCTCCCAGGGCTGTTCCCACCAGTCCACACTCCTCTCCTGGGGCTGGGAAGGCAAAGGGAAGGCAAAGGGAAGGCAAAGGGAGGCAGCAGGCCCCGGGCGGGCTCGTCCCGGTGCCGCTGTGCGGCTCGCTGCAGAGCAGAGTGACAGCCAGGCCAGGCTGGTGGCCCTGGGGGCAGTGGCACAGGCCTCACCTCACCCCCACAGCAGGTCACAGGACTGCAGCTGACAGCCCCGGGGCGAAGAAGGTGACGTTCTTCTCCTGGATCTTGTACTGGTAGATCTGGACGTGGTCCTGCTCCCCCGTCAGCTCCAAGGACGATCTCTTGATTATTTTAATCTGCCGAGGGGAAGGAAGAGGAACATCATCAGCTCTTTGTGGCACAGGCCTCACCTCACCCCCACAGCAGGTCACAGGACTGCAGCTGACAGCCCCGGGGCGAAGAAGGTGACGTTCTTCTCCTGGATCTTGTACTGGTAGATCTGGACGTGGTCCTGCTCCCCCGTCAGCTCCAAGGACGATCTCTTGATTATTTTAATCTGCCGAGGGGAAGGAAGAGGAACATCATCAGCTCTTTCGTGGCTCTGAGATCCACCAACAGGATAGTTTGGGGAAGACTCCCAGGAACTAGATATTTTCCTTTGCCCCCATCTTCAGGTGGGAGGTAGCCCTGTATGAACCCCTTCCAGATGCCAGGGATGGGGGAATCCCCAGGAGACAGGATGTCCCCAAATATCCCCACAGAATCAGAGGTCCCTTTTCACCAGAAAAAGACCTGGGGCTCTTGGTCAACAGCTGGCTGAACATGAGCCAGTGTGTGCCCAGGAGGCCAAGAGGGCCACCAGCATCCTGGCTTGGAGCAGCACTGGTGTGGCCAGCAGGAGCAGGGCAGGGATCAT